TGAATTTATCATGCAGCCCTTACTCCTTTGTGCACAGCCCCTTCCCCCCAATAAAGGACCCTGCACGCCCATCCCCCACGCTCACAAAGGCACCTCTCATCCGAGTGGCCCACTGTTACCTGTAGCAGCATCCCTATTAAACTCTTCTCGAGCTCTGGTAATTCTTTACCAACCCGCGTGTCACTGTCACCGTGTGTGTGCGCACAACAGTTATTACCAAAATCCATTCGAAGCACCTGGTGGAGGTTGGGGATTCCCGTGTGTTTTCTTGTGCACCAGCTCTTCCCTTCAATGTGCCACCTTCTCACTGGAAGAAGGAAGTTATTTTTAAACTTGTGGTTGGTGGGAAGCCAGCATTTCTCTTTCTAGGTGAATTATTTGGAACAGCCCCACTTTCCTGTGCTGTCTTTGGGAACTGGTTTAAAAGATGTTGTTTACAAATACTTTTATTTTGGCTTTTTAATTCTCCTAAACTTTTCAGGAGCCTACCATGTTCCGAACAGAGCCCTTTCCCTTTAGCGACCTTGATACGGTGCTGATCACAGTTAAAATGTCAGGATGCCAGGATTGGTGTGCCACCGTGTGGCCAAGTTGGGGAACTGCATCGTCTCCAGTATTGTGGAGGACAAGCCTTGGTCCTGTATTGTAGCCACTATCCCTTGAGCTAAAGTCTAGGGGAGTAGTTTGAAACTTTAAGCTGGTTTTTAAAAAATCACAGAATTTCTGATTAAGTAGGTCTGGGAATTTACATTACTGAATTCGTGTGTGATGCTGTTGCTGCTGGTCGGAGGACAGCATTTTGAGAACCAATTTTCTTATGAAATGATAAACCAATAGTTTTGAGTTCCTGTGGTGGCTCCACCACTCCAGATTCCCACCGTATTCCACATAATAGGCGATCAGGGTGTTCCAGTCTGTGCAAACTGTGTTGGAAAGAGAGGAGGGTAGTCTGTTCCACGTCCCTGACCACAAGGGGGCACTCTATAAAATTGTCTGTTGCCTCATTAGGTCATCAGGAAAAGCTGAGAAGTGCTGGGAAATGAGAGCCCAGATGGGGTACAGGTTACCCAAGAGAAGCTGTATTGTTGACTGGGGTCCTATAGAGACATGGACAAAGTCGACTTTAGCCACCTTTCCACCATTCGAGACCCTTCCTTTTTGCTTTGGCCTCTCCACCTGTCTGGGTTCCAAGTCCTGTGGCATCTTACTCCTAGAACTCTCCTTTAAGCTGTAAATGATAAATGGTGCAGGTGATGTACCTTTTCAGAAATTCCTGATTTGAAACATTATCCATGATCAAAAGGGAAGGCCTTTTATGAGTGTTTAGGGGTGCAGTTTCAGGCATCTTGTCAGGCAGTTGTATTAATTTTTCATCTTGTGCCTAGTTTGCAAACCCACCATGATATTGGGACTGCTTTCAAATAACTCCATAGATGGTTAAGAGCCTTTCCCTTCTTTGGGAGATCTCACCCAGACACAGAGCTGACGGCCCTGTGTAAGATGCTGCATCTTAGACGCTGTTTTCTAGATGAGATGCTGGTTGCTTAGATACAGCTCTCAGATAGGGTGAGCATCTATCAGAAAGGGAAGTGGGGCAGAAAGCACACTGGATTTGGGAAGCAGGTGTCATTTGGTTTCTTGGTTCCTCAGCCCTGGGCGAAGTTGGACAATGGCCAGTCAGAGATTGCTCCAACAACTGGCTCCTTCCTGTGTTTTTTCCTTCTCTCATGAGCACACACATGTCTGCTCTCTGCTGGAAATCTCTATGTGAATAAAATAAACAGAAACCTGTCTGGCTGATTTCTTTTAGATCTTAGGTCATAGTTCTGAATTTAGAAACTTGCTAGCTATTTTGACCAGTATTTGCCATGGCAACAAAGTGAACATTCTTATGTTTGGTCAGGATTAGCTTAGTTCAAGATCCTTTGGTAGCAATGGTGAGGAGGGAACATTCATCATGATGCTTTTGGTTCTTTATGGGAGAATCAGCCACAAGCAGCAGAAAGACCTTGGGGAAATAGGCATGGAATAGTGGAGCTCAAGCCTGACCTAATGCTCATTTAGTTCAGCTCTACTGTTTATTGGAGAAGAAATTGGAAACCAGATTGATGATGAAAGGAGTTTGTGCCAGGTAATATAAGTCTTTAGTAGCAGAGGGGAGATGTTAACTCAGGGCTTCGGTCTTAATCCAGGCTTTTCCTTTCAACTTCCACCCTCTGTTGTTTTTGGATGCTCATAACTCTAGCCTTGTTCTAGGTTCTAGGAAGTTTTACAGAGTATGCAGAAAATAAAGATGAAGTAGATTGGACAAAGAAAACTGTAGAATAAGAAAAATATGGTGCTATACAGAAGAAACTTGCATATCTATTTTATATATAGTAGTTAGTATCTGCAAATCTTGCTACTATGTATAAAATAGATATACAATAAGTTTCTTCTGTATAGCACAGGGAAATATATTCAATATCTTGTAGTAACCTATAATGAAAAAGAATATGAAAAGGAATATATGTATGTATCTGTATGACTGAAACATTATGCTGTACACTAGAAATTGACACAAATTGACACAACATTGTCAACTGACTACATTGCAATAAAAAAGAGAATAAAAACAAAGAAAAAAGGAAATAAAAGAAAAGTAAATAAG